TAATAAATGGGTGCTGAATTTTGACAAAGGCTTTTTCTGCATCTATTGATACTGTCATATGATTTTTATCTTTCAATTTGTTAACATGGTGTTATCACCTTGATTGATATTCACATATTGAAGAATCCTTGCATTCCTGGAATAAATCCAACTTGATCATGGTGTATGTGCTTTTTGATGTGTTGCTGAATTTTGTTTGCTAAAATTTCATTGAGGATTTTTACATCTATGTTTATCAGTGATATTGGCCTGTAGTTTTCTTTTTTTGTGTTGTCTTTGTCTGGTTTTGGTATCAGGGTGATGGTGGCCCCAAAGACTGAGTTTGTGAGTGTTCCTTCCTCTGCCATTTTTTGAAAGAGTTTTAGAAGGATAGGCATTAGCTCTTGACAGAATTTTCCTGTGAAGCCATCTGGTCCTGGACTTTTGTTTTTAGGGAGATTTTTGATCATAGCTTCAATTTCAGTGCTTGTAATTGGGTTGTTCATAATTTCTATTTCTTCATGGTTCAGTCTTCGAAGATTGAACCTTTCTAAGAACCTGTCCATTTCTTCCAGGTTATCCATTTTATTGCCATATAGTTGTTGTTCATAATAGTCTCTTATAATCCTTTGTATCTCCGCATTGTCTGTTGTAAGCTCTCCTTTTTCATTTACAATTTTGTTGATTTGATTCTTCTCTCATTTTTTCTTAATGAGCCTGGCTAAAGGTTTGTCAATTTTGTTTATCTTCTCAAAGAACCAGCTTTTAGTTTGATTAATCTTTACTGTTGTTTCTTTCGTTTCTTTTTCAATTATTTCTGCTATGATCTTTATGATTTCTTTTCTTCTAATTTTGGGTTTTTTTTGGTTCGTATTTTTCCAGTTGTTTTAGGTGTAAAATTAGGTTGTTTATGCAATGTTTTTCTTGTTTCTTGAGGTAGGATTGTATTGCTATAAACTTCCCTCTTAGAACTGCTTTTGCTGCATCCCATAGGTTTTGAGTTGTTGTGTTTTCCTTGTCATTTGTTTCTAGAAATTTTTGATTTCCCTTTTGATTTCTTCAGTAACCTGTTGGTTATTTAGAAATGTATTGTTTAATCTCCATTTGTTTGTGTTTTTTACAGTTTTTTTTAAAAAATTGATATCTAGTCTCAGTGTTGTGGTCAGAGAAGATGCTTGATATGATTTCAATTTTCTTAAATTTACTGAGGTTTGATGTGTGACCCAAGATGTGGTCTATCCTGGAGAATGTTCCATGTGCACTTGAGAAGAAGGTGTATTCTTCTGCATTTGAATGGAATGTCCTGAGGATATCAATGAGATCCATCTCATCTAATGTATCATTTAAGACTTGTGTTTCCTTATTAATTTTCTGCTTTAGTGATCTGTCCATTGGTGTGAGTGGGGTGTTAAAGTCTCCTGCTATTATTGTATTACTGTCAGTTTCTCCTTTTATGTCTGTTAGTGTTCATCCCATGTAATGAGGTGGTCCTATGTTGGGTGCATAGATATTTACAATTGTTATGTCTTCCTCTTGGATTGATCCCTTGATCATTACATAATATCCTTCCTTATCACTTGTAATATTATTTATTTTAAGGTCTATTCTGTCTGATATGAGGATTGTTACTCTAGCTTTCTGTTGCTTACCATTTGCATGGAATATATTTTTCCATCCTCTCACTTTCAGTCTATATGTATCTTTAGGTCTGAAGTGGGTTTCTTGTAGACATATAGATGGGTCTTGTTTTTGTATCCATTCAGCCAGTCTGTTTCTTTTTGTTGGAGCATTTAATCCATTTACATTTAAAGTAATTATTGATAGATATGTTCCTATTGCCATTTTCTTAATTGTTTGGGGTTGATTTTGTAGATCTTTTCCTTCTCTTCTATTTCTTGACTATACAAGTCCCATTAACATTTGTTGTAAAGCTGGTTTGGTGATACTGAATTCTCTTAACTTTTGGTTGTCTGTAAAGGTTTTTATTTCTCCATCAGTTTTGAATGAGATCTCTGTTGAGTACAGTGATCTTGGATGTAGATTTTTCCATCTCTTCATCTTGTTGATGGCTTCTTTTGCTGTGCAAAAGCTTTTTAAGTTTAATTAGATACCATCTGTTTATTTTTATTTCCACTACCCTAAGAGGTGGGTCACAGAGGATCTTGCTGTGATTTATGTCAAAGAATGTTCTGCCTGTGTTTTCCTCCAAGAGTTTTATAGTTTCTGGTCTTACATGAAAAAGTGCTCAACATCGCTTATTATTCAGTTCAGTTCAGTTCAGTCGCTCAGCTGTGTCCGACTCTTTGCGACCCCATGAATCGCAGCACACCAGGCCTCCCTGTCCATCACAAACTCCCAGAGTTTACTCAAACTCATGCCCATTGAGTTGGTGATGCCATCCAGCCATCTCATCCTCTGTCGTCCTCTTCTCCTCCTGCCCCCAATCCCTCCCAGCATCAGGGTCTTTTCCAGTGAGTCAACTCTTCGCATTAGGTGGCCAAAGTACTGGAGTTTCAGCTTCAGCATCAGTCCTTCCAATGAACACCCAGAACTGATCTCCTTTAGGACGGACTGGTTGGATCTCCTTGCAGTCCAAGGGACTCTCAAGAGTCTTCTCCAACACCACAGTTCAAAAGCATCAATTCTTCGGCGCTCAGCTTTCTTCACAGTCCAACTCTCACATCCACACATGACCACTGAAAAAACCATAGCCTTGACTAGATGGACCTTTGTTATTGTTAGAGAAATGCCAATCGAAATTACAATGAAGTGTCATCTCACACCTGTCAGTATGGCCACGATTTAAAGACTCTGCAAAGGATAAATCACAGAGAGGAAGTGGAGAAGAGGGAACCAAGGCCAGGAAGAAGGGACAAGGAGGAGGAGCTGCTCTTCTTTGTCAGCATCGCCGGCACGATGAGCTGCTGAAGCCTTTTTAAAGCTGGAGAAGAGCATGATGGGAGCTGTGCTTTAGGTGGATTCATTAAGCTATTCAAAGGCTAGATGTGAATGGAAAGAAAGGACAGGAGGGGGATGTATTCTAACTCCAAGTTCAGTCGGATGAAAGGAATTAAGGACCCGGGCCAAAATGGTGACTGTGAGAATGGGAACGAGGATGAGGTGCTCGCTTAGGGACCACTGGATACGAGAAAAAGAATTAGATGAAACATGGTGGCCTAGGTAACCAAAACAATGAAGATGACATTCATTCATTCAACAAACACATGCTTATTATATGCCAGGAGCTCTCAGTGGATATGGGAGAGAAATGTGACGGACAGAAATGGGGAATCTAGGTGAAAGATTTACTTTAGCGATGGATGATGATGGATTCAGTTTGGGCTATTAATGTAAGGAACTGATAGGACATTCGGATGGAGAAATAAGGCAGATTACTGAAAATATGATTCTGGACGGACCCCAGAGAAAAGATTAAAAAAAAAATGATCACAGAGATTTAGACATTATCAGCTTCCACCTCATAATTGAGGCCATGAGATATCTAGTTGGGGTGTGGCTGAGTGAGAAGATAACAAAGTTACCGAATTCAAGTTCTCAGGAAATAAACAGTCATAGTAGCAAAAGTTAGTTTAAATTTTTAAAAATCTAAAAGTAATGTATACTCTTGTAGGAATTCTAACAATCCTAAAGCATAGAAAGTAAACAGGCAAAGTTTCTTTCCTTACTTCTTCCCCACTTGATTAAATTCTGATTAAAGGGAAATTGAATTAGCATTCCTTTTAATTGGTATTGCTTTTCTGAAGATTTTCTTGGGGATTTACTTTTCTGGGAACAATGGGAAACACATTCATGTCAAGTAAACTCATGTTGTCTTAGCCTTTTTGATCTGTGGATAGAAGAAAAAGAAGGCAAAACCTTGGAAGAGAGAGCCAGGCTTTAGACCCTGTAGATAAATATTATAATTTGCCAAACATTTTTCAATGAGCAAATATATTTTAAAATGTATCTGTAAGCTTGGCACAATCACTTTAACAACTTTTTTTGTAATTCACAAATTTTACATGGCATTGGTTTGCCTGTAACCTCAAGGATCACACAGCTTATTGCTTGAGGGTGACTATCCCAATCTTTTTATTTAGGAGACTCCTGACATAGCCTCCAGAACTTGAGGAGAGAGAAACTCCACATGATGTGCTCTCATTCTGTCCCTCCATAAAAGAAGGAAGGAGGTCTCCTTATATTCTTCAAACTTCAAACAGAAGCAGTCAGGCTTCTGGCAAACTCAGCCATTCACAACAGCCTCACACTCAGAAGTGGAAAGGCTGCCAAACTAGAAAAAAAATGAAATCCAATACCTGAGATACCTATGTGATCCATGCATTTTACTGCATGAATCTAGTATTCTACAAATGTATTTAGAGTTAAATTAGTATTTAAATTTGGCAGTGGTTACTTTTTCCCCCTTTAGTTTGGTATCAAATTAAGTTCTTGGGGATGTGAGGTAGAAGGCAAGACTGGCTGCTCTGGAATTGATTCATCAAACAATAACAGTATACAGTCAAAGTGGTGTCAGAAAAATTTCCAACCAGCTCTGGAACCATTTATTTAGTGATGAGCAAGTGCCACCATCTACTATATTATTCATTCTATGCATTCATCTGTTTACTCATTAATGGATGAATTTGTCAAATGCACTTGATAATGTTGAATCATTATATAAAGACTTATTACATTAAGTATAAGAACAGGTAAGAATACAATAGATCATAGAAAGCTTTTCATATAAAATGATTTTAAAAAGTGTTCAAAAGGTTTGCTATAATAGAGTTAAGTATCAAATATCTTATAAAATTCATTTATAGGGAATTCTTTGTTCCCCATTGATGCAGGATAAATCAGTACTGTAAACTATATTGGATTTTTCATAATTCTTCAACCTCCAAGATAATCAACTCTTACAAAACCTGGGGTGAAGAAACTGGATAAAAACTCTTCTGTGAATATGCGATTAACTCCAAGTTCCTCTCTCCTTTTTCCTTCTCCTCTTTTGGTTTGAGCAGCATGACTGAAGGGCTGGGCCAGTTGACTGATGGGGTGTCTGGCCTGGATGATTTCACCCAGACCCATGAGTACCATGTATGGCCGGGCTATGACTACGTGGGCTGGAGAAATGAGAGTGCCACCAATGGTTACATCGAGATCATGTTTGAGTTTGATCGCATCAGGAATTTTACTACTATGAAGGTCAGTGGAGTTAGGCATGGAAGCCAAAATCACAATCAAGGGAAAAGGCATGATGGGAAGAACCTGAGGGTGATGCCAGCAGAACAGGATTCAAATATATATTCTACTGCTAACTAGCTGCATGCATTTTATGAGTCACTTCATTTCTCTGGGCTGGTTTCTTCATTTGTAAATAAGGGTGTTGGACTAGGTCACTGTTTTTCAATGTATTTTGTTGCTGTTGTCTCATCAACAGAGTTGATGTATCCATTATGCAAATTGGGTGCACCGTCTGGGACCCATGATACTTTAAGCCCACAGAAATGATTTAACTTCTTTAATTATCAGAATAAAAGAAATGAGCTTTAGGGTCAAAGTTATTCTCATCTTTTTAACAAATATGGTTGTAAAATATAATTTTAATGTGTTTTTATTGAAATGTAGGGCCCACAAAGGCAGAAGTGCCTAGGGCCCATGGGCATCATTACTTGGCTCTGCCCAGCACTCTTCAGGGAGGGGGCATGCTCTTGTCAGCAAGAGTGACTCACTGTAGCTCTGATGATCAATGGAAAAAGAAAGGGCTTTATGTTTTGAACCACTCTCCACTCTCTGAGTATTTTCTCTATGCCCACAGCACTGAGAAACCATGATAGAAGATCCCATACACTTCTATTCCCAGAGTTCTTTGTTTCCTTATCTACGATCATCTATATGTGTGTGTGTCTGGTTCTCTTATTTGACCTCAAGCTCCTCCAAGATGGTGACTCTGCTTTCTGATCTCAGTACTCAAGCACCTGGCGGTTAATATATGCAGGCTCAAAAAATGTTTGTAAATGAAAAAATGATACCCTTTATTGCCTACTTTCACCATGTATAGTTATAAATATCTCTGCCACCTAGGGTAGAAGGAGGAGGAGATATGATGAACAGCAAATAAGACACTGAAAATACAATTGTATTTTCTCAACTATAAACAGAAATGTGTAGAAGGACTGGGGCCAGGCAGGAGAAATTGCTGTGATTTCTGGCTGGGCCAACATCTGGATTTTAGACCTCATGCCCAGATATCTCTGAGAGCTCTGTGACTCTTAGCCTAGCCAAAGGAGTTTTATCCAATGAATGAGATTCAAGGCAAGTGGTGGAGTGAGGTGATGTGGTTTTAACCCAAGTCTTCTCTAAGCCCTCATATGTAAGTTATTAGGTTTTTTAATTTGTTTTTGCTAAAATGCCATCACCCCAAAGCCTGCATTAAAATGCAAGTATTTTACCTCAGGGAGAGTAAAACAATAAAAAGTTATTGTCTTAAGTGCAATAGCCGAAGTGATTTTATCAGTTTATTATTGCAGAGTAGTTAAGAGTGAGTAGGTAAATTTTATTGAGGACTTGGATGAAAGCTGAAAGATCTGGGAAAAGGACAGACTGGGTGTGCTCTGGGGAGAGTTAAGTCAGAACCTGAGAAGAGCTGAGGGAGGGGACTTAAGGCCTGATTTCCATTTTCTCTGGGGTAGGGCCTTTCAGGAGAGCCCACCCTAGGTGTAAGCATTGAGGACATCTCTGTTGGCATGGTGGTTTCCCGGTACTTAGCTCAAGTGGTCATTTTGCCTTTTCAATCCCATGAATGTTTCAGAGGGAAAGGAATAGAAGGGAAGAAAATGTCCATGTGAAATGTGACCAGATTAGATGCTAAACCTGAATGCTAGATTCTGGGGTAAACAGATGAATAAGAAATAGTCTCTTTCTTGGGACAGTTTGAGGTTCAGTAGGGGAAGACACTATTTATTTGCAGAAGGAGGTATGTAGAATGACATGGGAACCCTGAAGAAGGGAAACTGTTTTACTATTAAAGGTTCCTAGTAATTTTTGGCATGAAACTGGAGTCAAAAAGAAATTGCATGTCTATTATATCACTCTCACATGTTAAGATGATAATATCTCCTAATTGGATTAATAACTATTAGTTATATGATAAGAACAGAAGAATATACCTGGTCTGCCAGTGTGTTGCTCATGAATGGTTCTTTGGCAGTTGTGAAACATGTGTGCAATTGTGTATAACAAATTGTCCTTCACAAGATTTTTGGGGGAAGGAGGGAAATTTGCATAGTAGCAAAACTATGTATTCCTCAAGAAAAAATTTATTTGTGTTGTGAGTAAGATGTATACCCAATGTGTACCTATGAACAAGCATATCAATTCATTGTATATCACTGGGAGAATTTCTAGTCCCACAAATAATAAAATGTATTTTAAAACCCCCGTAAAGCTATAACATTTACTTAATTGACTTTGATCTTCCTGAGTCCCCAGCCACTCCTATGTAGTTTATCACAGGTCAAAATTATTCAAAAGCATGTCCTGCAATGAGAAGGTACCAGAAACTTCTCAGGAGCTGACTCAGGGTTGGTCCTCTTAAGGCTAAAAGGCCGAACAGGTATCTACCTTGTTTAAATTTTTCTGAGACAAAAAGTAAAAGATGACTTTCAGGTCATCAATGTCTTCTAGAGAGAAGTTTTGCTTCCTAGGCAAGGTACTGCCCATTTCCCTCTCTGCCCTGATTATAGTTAAAATACAGCATTTAGAAGAAATGCAAATCCCCAGAGCATTTAGAAAATGAAAACACTACATATATCAAAACAAATGGGACACATAGAAAACTACACTGAATAAAGTTCATGGCATTGAATATTTTCTTCATTATTAAAAAAGGAAGATAGAAAAAAAAAGAACTAGACACTGAATTCCAACATCAAAGATTAATGTATAAACCAATTAATTAAAACTGGAAAACTACATGAATTATCATAAACCCGAGAGCTTTTTCTTTGGAAAAATGTAAAATGAAAAAAAATAAATAAAAGACAAATAAATTAAAAGAGATTTTGAAATACATATATATAAAAGTGCATTTCAAAATGTTTTCTATTTATTAAATAAATATTTAAGTCCATCGGAGAATGAAATCCTGTGCTATATATTTGCATTCCAGGAGGATTCCCAAAACGTTTGCAGGACAGATTATCGTCTTCCCCACAGACTACTTATCCAACACTCCACAGATTTCAAAACATCTGAAAAATCTATTGAAACTGTAGATGGCATTTCTTTGATTTTGTTCTTAGCCTTATTCTACTTACTTTTCAATAGACTGGAGCTGTTAATTCATCCCAAAGAAGATATTAACACATGTTTTCATCATTAACATTTAGAGGGAAATCCAAATGGGAAAGTCGAGGTGATTTTCCCCCTTTCCATGTGGCATGGATGTGGAAAGCGTGCTGGACTATAGTCTGCGATTCTAGATCCTGTTCTGATGCTGACTGACCCCAGACAGGTCAAACCTCTTGGAGCACCAGTTTCCTCATTAGTATACAGAGAACTGGACTAGAAATTTTTTTTTTTTTTTGACTAGAAGATTTTTAAAGTCTGCAGTCACTCTTGTATTTCGTGATTTTATTCTTTTCACATATCTCTGGTCTGTTTCATCAGTCATTAAATTCCTATATCATTACTTCTTCTTCTTCAGCTAAAAATAAATTCTGAATTAAAAAAATGAAAGTGCTAGTTGCTCAGTTGTGTCTTAATCTGTGTGACCCCTTGGACTGTGACCTGCCAGGCTCCTCTGTCCATGGAATTCTCCAGGCAAGAATACTGGAATGAGTTGCCATTTCCTACTCCAGGCGATCTTCCCAACCCAGGGATCAAACCCAGATCTGCATTTCAGGCAAATTCTTTACCATTTGAGCCACTTGGGTCATACTGACTACCCAGAAACCAGAGGATGGTATTGAAGGGTTACAATTCAGGAACTAAGCAAGACATAAAATTGAAATAACAAATATATTCCAAAAATTACAATGATGCTTTTCCAACCTAAAGTCTTTAAATTCAGGGGAGAGTGACCAGCAAATCTCCATTTTCTACATAGGACTGAGCCTGAGGTAATGTTACTGAACTACCACCAGAGACTTGACTTAGTTACAGTGACTAAGTACAACTAACTACAGTTACTTGACTTAGTTACAAACATGGACATTCTGCTTTTGAGGGATGTTACTCATAGCAAGGTGCTACAGAAGAACTGTTGTTGAATCCTTCTTCCTGATGACCCTTAAAAGCCATACAAATACTCTGGTGAGACAGTCATGGCAGCAGGCAAGAGGGTGCAAGCTACCTTCCCAAAGACTTTCTTTTCTCATCTCAGAAAGTATCTATGATGAAGATTTAATGCTCTCATCAGAATGGCTTTACCAAAATGAATTTAATTAAGAGAGATTTAATTAAGTCTTGTGTCTCTGGCTGACAAATGCTAGTCAAAATGAGATTTCTGAAAAGAAAGATGAAATTGTATTGGATAGTGTGTTATTTCAGGTTTCTCATCTAAACTCGTTGAAAGGAGTGGATTAACTTTGGAAATGTTCCTAGGAGAAAGTAGTCCAGAATAGCTTGATTCTGGGTAGATAGCAACCATAGTTGAGGGGATTGGAGTGGTGAGAGGTGCAGTTATAGACCAGAGAGTCTTAAGGGCAAGGAAGGAACTGAGAGGTGGCTGGTCCAGCCCTAATTTAACAGATGAGTACACCTCTCCCGGCAGTGTGCAGCAAGATGGCTGGGGGAGCACAACAGTATAAAGGTGACTAGAGTAGCAGCCTAGGTTTTAAAAAGTCAGAGCAATGTTCCACTGCCACTCTGAGGTTCCTAGAAGGGAAAAATGCATTACTACAGAGCATCAGTTATTCACCAAGGATGGTGTTCGGAGAAATGTGACAAGTCTAAGGTCTTACTGGGTGAGGTTGCACTGTATCCCCAGTGCCACCCCGCAGGGTCAAGCTGTCACTCCATGCCTCTTTCTCGGCCAGGTCCACTGCAACAACATGTTTGCCAAGGGTGTGAAGATTTTTAAGGAGGTCCAGTGCTACTTCCGCTCTGAAGCCAATGAATGGGAACCTAACGCCGTCTCCTTCCCGCTGGTGCTGGATGACGTCAACCCCAGTGCTCGGTTCGTCACTGTGCCCCTCCACCACCGCATGGCCAGTGCCATCAAGTGCCAATACCATTTTGCTGACACCTGGATGATGTTCAGTGAGATCACCTTCCAATCAGGTTGGGAGCTTGGATGGCCCTTAGGGAAGTGGGAGCAGGGTGGTGAAGGAGGAAGGCAGTGTCCAGAGCTTCTCATTGGTGGGTCTCTGAGAAGAAAGAGGTTAGACAAGTGGCTTCTCATGGGTAGAGAGAGAGAATCTTTCTCCCCTAGTTTGGTTGTGGAAGGGCAGAGATGAGACTGTGGAAGTGGATGGAATGTTTATTTGGCTCTCACTCATGTTTGTCTAAAAAAAAAGAAAATGAGTACAATGTGTTAAAACTTTAATGTAAATCAAACCAGTTAAGGGGAAGCAAACCTAAGCACTATTAAAGTATTTAAATGAAGATGTCTAAATATACACTAAAGAGAACAATGAACCTCCATCCATCACTTAGCTTTACTAATAGCTGATTTTCTTGTCATGCTTGTTTCATTTATTCCTCCCTTTTTGCTATAGAATTTTGAAGCAAATCTGAGATGTTATTTGATTTCAATAATAGCATTTTAGAATACACCTGAGAAGATAACATTATCTTCATAACAATGCATTATAACAACATTTATTAAGAACTAATTCCTTATAAATGAAAAAAAAAAGAACTAATTCCTTAATGTAATATAATAGCCAATCCACACTTATGTATCCTTGATTGTCTAACAATGTCTTAACAACAGTTGGCTTGAATGAATTAGGATCCTACTAATAAGGCCCTCCTGGTGTGTTTCCTTTATTACATTGCTAGGCTGTATCTCTTTTAATCTAAAGCATAAATTAAAACAAAAAAAAAATTCCATTCTGGACTAACTGATTGCTTTCCATGGTGTCATTTTACTGTAACTTATATCATCTGTCATCTTGTAGACCGGAGGTTATATCTGCAGGTGAATTTGATTCAAATTTAATATTTATTTTTGCTAAGGATTTTTCATAGATAGTGTTGTGTACTTTATGTTGAATCTCATCATGGAGATGTCATGTTAGACTGCCTCACTTTTAGTGATGCTAAGATTGATCTTTGGGCTCAGGTGGTTTTTCTTTCAAAGAAAAGTTCCCCACGATCTTTCTCCTTAGACTTCACCCTCCATTGATGACCACTGCTTAAATTATTTCATTAGGAGTTGTTGACTGATGATTTTCTAATTCTTTTGTTCCTTTTGCAAGCTGAATTTATTCTGAATATGAGAACTATTCCCATATGCTTGTTAACCTTGAAATATAGTTCACATTGCAAGGGCAGTTTACATAATTAATTTTTTCATCAATTTTCAGAGTAATGAATTAATGCAACCTTTAGCAACTTTCAATGGTATCTAATAGATTTTGTTTTGATTTTCGTCCTTGTTATGTTTCTCAGTATCATTATGCATTCATTGGTTTTTATAAATTCAGTGTTTGTTGCAATTAATATTTCTTTTTAATACTCAGATTGCCTGCATTTGACCAGAGCACATGCCTTTAAGCTGGCTCTGTCTACTTTTAATTGGATCCTATAAGTTTTTGATAGCTATTTTGTGAAAGAACAAGATGTTCCAAGCTTATTTTGAGCATTCACTGCCCCAGATGTGGAATCACATTTCCTGAAGTGATCTTGGTTCCTTTTATTGGGGAATGGTATTTAGAGACCACAAAGTTGGCAGTATGGACTGTGTCAAATCATGAAAAGTTAAAAGCCATTTAAGACACTGTCTATATCATCACAATTTAGATGAGGATTTAAAACCTAGATAATGATTTTTTGTTCATAAGATGTTCAAAGTGGTGACCAACAATAAGGTCAGAAGGAGAGAGGTCACTAGAGAGTAGATTTGTAATGGACAAAGGAGTGAGACTTTATACTCGGCCTGGAAGAAGAATACAGGCAAAAAAATGACATCAGAGGAGAGGGAAGACTAAAAATAAACCAGAAGACCCCATCCTTCCTAATTTGATTTTTAAAAGAAAAAAATTTTAAGATGTTTTGCTAATTAAGATGTATTGATGCAGAAATAGAGCACATGTTTAGAAAAAGAGGTTTGGTGCCTCAGTACATTCTGTTATAAAAATTTAAGCTAAGAGTAAGTGGATTCATTATTTTATAAAGTATTTATTGAGGGAAGAAATTTAAGTGTTCAAAAGCAGTGTTACTTAACATCCTACGTGTTTATTAGGAGACAGTAGGTTTCCACCATCCTCAGAGTTTCTGCAGAAGACTTAAAATGTGTGCTTCAGGAATTCATATAAGGCATATTTTGCTAAGTTAATGACCAAAGGATTTTAGAACAACATGAATGATTAGTTTTAAGTCATCTTAAAGTTGTCTTTCTGATAGGAAAATGGAACAAGATGTGTCAGTGCAATTGTTTCATATTAAATGATCTCCGAAACAGTGGTGTTTGTGGCATAAAATCACAGAAAATGTATTCATGTCTTTTTTACATTTTCTTGATAAGAATACAACTTTAAAAAAATATTCTCAGTAAGTGATTAAATATGTCCCGTGTAAACCCAAATCAGACCAACATGTTAGCTATGTCTGCTGTGTATATTCTCATTAACATTAAAGAAGACACTTTTAGAAGTGTGCCAAAAAGACTTAAAATAGTTGTAGCTATGTAACTATAGTTACATAGTTTTTGACTGCTGAAATAACTTGAACTTTAATGTCATGATAATATTAGTTTTCACTGAAGCCTGAGAATCCAATTCAGAAAAGTACAGGTGGGTGTGAGATACTTTATTTATATCATAATGCTAATAAGAAAAATCAGGTTTTGGGGAGAGAATTTCCTTTGGATGGGAAGTGAGTATTTTAATTCTTCCCCTCTTTATTAGACAAATCAGAGGGAAAAATAAGTTACCAACATCAATCTGTCAAATACACTTTTGGGATCTAGTCTTGGAAGCTTCAGGATCACAGTAAAGGATAATTTAACTCAGCAGTCCCCAACATTTTTGGCACCAGGGACCAGTTTCATGGAAGATGATTTTTCCACCGATGGGCTGGAGAGGGGTGGTAGTTTCAGGATAATTCAAGCACATTACATTTATTGTGTGCTTTATTTCTACTGTTATTACATCAACTCCACCTCAGATCATCAGGCATTAGACCCTGGAGGTTGGGGACCCCTGCTCTAATTTATCTGTAAGGATGAAGGCTTAATTTATAAATTAAAAGTCTAGGACAATGAAACATAATGAAAACTCTTTAGTAAACAAAAGAGTTCAATTAATTTAATTTCCTTGAAGGAAAGATCATCTTTAGCACCATGTCTGTTCCGTGTCTCTAACTCATTATATTCTCTCTATATTTTACTGAACTTGGGTCTCATTTCTTATGCATACTTTATGATAATGTGTGGTCACAGCCCTCTGATCATTCTTTCTTAATTTTTTTTATATCATGATACTTACAAAAGAAAAGTTGCCCTTGCTATTGAGATGAATGGTAATGTTATTTATTTATTAATAATATATGATTTCATTTCTAATCCAGTAAATTGATTTCACAAAGTACTAGCTTAGAACCTACTTTCAGAAAAACCACTACCTAGCTGTCTTCTTCCCTTGAGCTCTGACTCACCCTTGCTTTATAACAGATGCTGCAATGTACAACAACTCTGGGGCCCCGCCCACATCGCCTGTGGCACCCACAACCTATGGTATGTGTTATGGAATTCTTCGTTATAAAAATTAAGTTGAGGAGACCTTCCAGAGGGTGAAGAAGAGTGGAGGTTTGCAGAGGCCTGACTGTGTTGGAGGCTTGATACAGGGTGTCCTTGGGTGAAGAGCAGCTCCGGAAAGATAGGACAGTCCACATCCAAAGTTAATGGCCCAAACTCACTCCCTTCCCTGCTGGTCCATGTGGTTCTCCAGCTGAGGCCGAGTCTTGAGTTGTCCCAATAGCTTCTTGGAAGTTTGGGACACTTGGAGCAAAAACAGGGAGGGGGATATGTCTAGGTGAGACCCACTGTAGGGGTCTCAAGGAAAGAATGGAAGTCTACGGAACAAAAAGCTAGTCTCTGCAATTGCAGGGAAATATGGACACATATATCCATTGCTTCAGACAGCCACTGGCTGTTTAAGTCAGCAATCTGGGAAATACGAAATCATAGTGTAAAGTCCAAAGAAGACTCTCAGCTACCCTGGCATGTCTCAAAGAAACCACAGTGAAACTGGTTCTTCACCTGCTTTTCATGAGGTGAGAGTAGAGACCAGCAGACCCAAGCCATGGTATGAAGGAACAAAATTTTGGGAAGAATGGAAAGCCTCTCCGTTATCCAGTCTAATACATGGAGAACAGGAGGCTCCTGTCCCATGGATGTGGACTGTAGGATATAGGAGCAAAGTAATACAAGAGTACCAATACCAAGTGTTAAGGTGACATGTGGTGGAATTATCCTGAAGGAGCAGGTTCTGCCTTCTTATCTCTAGTCCAAGCCTTCATGCTTTTCGTGCCTTGGGAGATCATAATATTCTTCATTTTTCCTGTCCTGGTTACAGATCCAATGCTTAAAGTTGATGACAGCAACACCCGAATCCTGATTGGCTGCTTGGTAGCCATCATCTTCATTCTCTTGGCCATTATCGTCATCATCCTGTGGAGGCAGTTCTGGCAGAAAATGCTGGAGAAGGTGAGGAAGTGCAGAACACTCATGGGATAGGAAACCACTCTGTCCTTTCCTGTGCTGCTCTTACCCTGGGAGTAAGAGGCAAATCACAAAATCAGGTAAATGGTTAGAAAGACAATCAAGGCTGCCAAGAGGCATAGGTATAGAGAAGCTAGGGCTGAAAGGATCAGAAAAGAATAAGCTAAGTCCAGTCTCTCATTTTTAGGATGGAGAGTTTGAACCCTCCCTAGAGAACTCAAAAACTTTTTTTTTCTTCCCAACACATTTAGGCATCTCAACTTAGGCATCTTCCTGGAAGATTCTGATTCACTGGGTTTTGGGGGGAGTGCCAGCATCTATATTTTTAAAAAATATAAAGTAATTATTCTACAATTAAAATAAATTAATTTAAAAAGTTAATAAGTGATTCTGATGCATAACTGATACCTAGCTAAAATTTCTGATAATGCTGTTCCTTTTGTTTTTACTGCTTGCTTGTTTTTTGGTGTGTGTGTAGAAAAATATCCAACATCATTCATATCCAAGCCAAGTTTCTTGCAATTCTATTCCAACTTCTTTTTGTACTTGAATGTTATGGCTATGCATCCTCTGAATGCCTCCTCAGATTCATTTTGTCTAGGCCAAGTGATCTGTATAATTTCTACTACATTTGTCTAACACTTTGCAGTCTACAAAGACTTTTTCCATGATTTTACTTGAACCTCATTGAATAATGGTGAGTTGGGCATAGTAGTTATATTTAACTGTTTTTCTGGTTAAAAAATATGAAGTGCTCAGTGCCATTAATATCCTGTTTTTTATGCTGGTTCCAATTGTCAGTCTTGAAATTTGTTGACTTCTTTTCTTCTAAACTATATACATTCCACCACAGGTAGACTGGGGCTTCCCAATGCCGGTAGTGGTAAAGAATCTGCCTGCCAATGCAGGAGACATAAACAGATGTGGTTTCCATCCCTGGGTCAGAGAGATCCCCTAAAAAAGGAAATGGCAACCCACTGCAGTATTCTTGCCTGGAGAATCCCATGGACAAAGGAGTCTGGCGGAGTACAGTCCATAGGGCTACAGAGTCGGACATGACTGAAGCGACTTAGCACACATGCACGGAAGGATTATCTATGACTTCTTTTGTTTTTTTTAGACCAGATAGCAACTCGGGGCACTGTTGCTAAGTGTGTGATATTCTTGGACTTTGCTGATGATAAAGTGTTTCTACCTTTGACATGGGCATTGTCGCTGGTCAGTGAGCTCAAATGGATGTGGACTGTGAGAGGTCACAGGTGCTCTGGGTTGTGAGACTGAAGTGCCAATTGAGGGCTGGAACTGGGAGGGAGGGTAATGCCTGATTGTGTTCATAGCTTCCGTGTTTGGAGATGGGCTCTCAGAGGAGACCAGTGCTTCTGTGGAGTACATACCAGAAGAGGTAAATGCACTGGAACCTTCTGAACTCTTGGTGGGTGGGACAAGAGGAAGGGGCTAATATCAGGGAAGTGAAGGGAATGACCCCGACAAGCAGCCTGCAATTCCTTCTGAGCTGTTACACACCTAGGCGCTGAAAGACTGAAGTTTACTTTAAGGTTTTTAGGCAGGAATATTTCACAGAAGAGAGGATCTCTTTGCTTCCCACAGGGACTTCTATCATGAGTCTGAAAATACTTTGACTAAATTAAAGCTTTCAATCCATAAATAGTGACTGAAGGCTGAAAGGCAGGATCCACAGAGAGCTCACGCACTGGCATGCTGAGGCAACATCAAAACCTTTCTTTGAGAATGGTGAGACACGCTGAGTCTCTAGATTCCAGGGAGAAGGCTAGCAAAGAGTGGTGGTGGGAGAAGCTGGTGGTCTGAAGATTCATTGGAAAGCTTGATGCTATGTTCTTATTGAACAGTCTGTTATGACTGCGTTTTTTGTAGTTGAGGGGGAGAGTCTATATTCTCTATTCTATGAGCTATTTTTCTCTGCACCAGAATTTACCACGTCTGAGTCTTTCTTCTGAAACCCACTGGAATATATTCATGGTCTGGGAGAGGAATTTGGGGCTGGAGACTCTCTAGGTAAAAGGGAGACTAAACATTTTGCCCTTAAATATTTAACTTGGTCCTTCAAGAAATTCTTCTATCTCTGTACATACTGAGTGAGAAAACTCAAAACGCTCTGGAATAGCACAGGATTTCTCCTTTTTTTGTAGAAGACCCTTAAGCATATACTTATAGTCCCAGTACATTACTCAAAGTAGCCTTATGCTATAGCATTATTTGCAGGATACTTATAATGGTGTCCTCAATTCTCTCTTTGAGAGAGTCAGCCCGTATTTATTGAGTACCTACATGTGCTGGGCTCCATGGTTATTACCGAGGACCTATCAGCATAGCTTATGGAGCAGACATCTCAATTTCTCAATTGAGCACCCAAGGTGTGTTTGTTGGAGTAGAACATTTCACGTGTTTATATCTAAATAGTCCCATATATTTAGATTATGAGATTTCATTTTGAAGGAGCAGGTAGGCCATATTAGATGGAATGCAAGAACAATTAGCTGTTTAATTCCTCTTATTCCTGTGTTAGGTATAATTTGGGCTTCCCTGGTGGCTCAAATGGAAAAGAATCTGCCTTTAATGCAGGAGACCTGGGTTTAATCCCTGGGTTGAGAAGATGCCCTGGAGAAGGGAATGGAAACCCACTCTAGTGTTCTTGCCTGGAGAATCCCATGGACAGGAGCCTGGTGGGCTACCGTCCAGGGAGTCACAGAAAGTGGGACATGGCTGAGCTACTAACACACACACACACACACACACAGGTATAATTCACCTTAGTATCCCTAGACATAAAGGGCTTTCCTTTCCTATTTTGTAGTCATTTTATTTTTGGTTAGTAAAAATGCAGGATAAAGAGAGTATTACTCTAACGTACAATGCCAGAGTGATCAGGGGAAGTACAGATTCATTGTGTTACAACACATTTGTTGTGTTAATGAGCATTTTAATTTATATCTGCACAAAATCAAGTGGTTGAATGGTGTCAGGAAAACCTGTTATTTAATAGAACTTTGAAAATGCTAAGATTGAGATTCTTTGATTGGTCATTGATAGGTTCCTACAGTGTTGTGTGAATGATGCTTATACATACTTCAATGGGAGTTAATAAATGTTGGCAGTGTAGATATTTGGAAGTCAAATTCTTCCTTGATGAAATGAAAGATTATTCTAAATTTCTACAGTATAGGTATTTGTGGAACCAGGCTGCATCCCTGCCACTTGCATTGCTTCTGGAGTTTGAATATTAAAGAGTTATTTTCATCTGAGAGGAAGAGCTGGCTTTAAGAAAAGGAGGCAGTGATGATCTCTTTTGTGCCAACATGCCTTTCTCTCCTTCTCTTTTAGGCCTCCCGGAGGATGCTGGATGATGAAATGACAGTCAGCCTTTCCCTGCCCAGTGAATCCAGCATGTTCAATAATAACCGCTCCTCATCACCAAGTGAGCAGGAGTCCAACTCTACTTATGATCGCATCTTTCCACTTCGCCCTGACTACCAGGAGCCATCCAGGCTGATACGAAAGCTTCCAGAATTTGCTCCAGGGGAGGAAGAATCAGGTGAGGATGAAGTGATGGGCAGAGAATTGAGAGACAAGGTTTATGAAGGTGTGACACAATTACTCAACCAAGTCTAGTGTAACCTAGAGAAGTCCACCTTCTCCTGGGAAGTCCACACTTTCTAGATTGGGTCTGCTGCTACTCCTACTTAAATCTGAGCATCTCTCCTCTGCTACTAATAATAGCAGATGTTTGGAAGGCCCCACATGTTAGAAAAAGAAAATAGATAAAATGTGTTACTGAAGTGTTAACACTGTTAGAACCTAAACAGCCCAACTAGTCCAACCTCCTCTTTTTTTCACAAGAGGAAAGTAAGAAGACTCAGATATGGTACTTACTCAACATCAAACACCAATGGGGTAAATTCAGGACTAGAATCAAACTGGAAGCTAAAGACATCCTAGAATACCCAGTTTTTAGTCACCTAGATAATTGTGTTGGGCGTCCCTGGTGGTACAGACAGTAAAGAATCTGCCTGCAATGTGAGAGACCTGGGTTTGATCCCTGGGTTGGGAGGATCCTCTGGAGAAGGGCATGGCAACCCACTCCCGTATTCTTGCCTGGAGAATCCCCATGGACAGAGGAGCCTGGCGGGCTCTAGTCCATGGGGTTGCTAAGAGTTGGACATGACTGAGAGACTAAGCACAGATAATTGTGTTATTTAATTTTTGTTCATTTCTCTTTGGTGAATGATGTGTTAGACTAATAGATGATTTTATTACGAAAGTAAATATCTCTTGTCTTCTCTCAGTAAAAGCATTGCTTTGGTAAACGGTGCCAATTGATTCCCATCCCAGTGTTTTTTAAAAAGGGCTGCAGAGTGACATCATAAGCGATGCTGGGGTCATCGCTGAGACTAAGAGCAGGTTTTCTCTCCATAATATCAGCAACCAAAAGTGACCTGAGTCAATGAGAGAGGACTGATGGTGTTCAGGAGAGAGGTCATTGGAAAAGTAGCAGGGCTAACCATGAGGGCAGAGGCTTTTCAAGGGAGTCTTTCCAAAGGAAGAAAGGACACTAAGGTGTATTTGTCACTCAGTTTAGTTCAGTTTAGTTCAGTAGCTTAGTCGTGTCTGACTTTTTGTGACCCCATGGACTGCAGCATGCTAGGCTTCCCTGTCCATCACCAACTCCTGAAGCTTGCACAAACTCATGTCTATCGAGTTGGTGATGCCATCCAACTATCTCATCCTCTGTTGTCCCCTTCTCCTCCTGCCTTCAGTCTTTCCCAGCATCAGGGTCTTTTTCAATGAGTCAGTTCTTCACATCAGGTGGCCAAAGTATTGGAGTTTCAGTTTCAGCAGCAGTCCTTCCAATGAACACCCAGGACTGATCTCCTTTAGGATGGACTGGTTGGATCTCCTTGCAGTACAAGGGACTCTCAAGAGTCTTCTCCAACACCACAGTTCAAAAGCATCAATTCTTTGGTGTTCAGCTTTCTTTATAGAAAGCTTTCTTTATATTTACCACTCAGTGGATAGCAAACTTTGACGGAGCATATTGAACTATGGGACTTTCACAGAGATAACAAGAAAAGGGATATAATTCTTTTTTTAGGCTAAACCAAAGTGACTTACCTACTTCCTGAAGTCTAAAACATCCCCCCTCATATTTTAATGTGTTTTAAAGTTAGGATGTCTTAAGCTAGATCATATAAATTTAATCAAAGTTTTAAATCCCAAAATAGGTTATTTACATCAGTAATCATATCTTAAAATTAAGAAAATATGCTGTTAAATCCTAAAACTTTAATACTCCCACCCTAACTAGTATAGCCAGCCTTCCTAGAGCTTCACTGCAATTCCATAAGTTTAGTCAAGGAGATTGTTAATGATCAGGTAGTATGAGAAGGGTAAGAGATAAAATGGTGACCTGTATTCTGGAGGCCACAAGAAAGTCTCTAGAGGAACCATTGTCCAAGTAATAATGTCATAGCCTAGGTTAGACTGGGGGCTTTTTTTTTTTAAACTTTATTATAATTGGAAGATGATTACTTTACAATATTGTGATGGTTTTTGCCATACATTAACATGAATTGGCCACATATTTTAGCCTTCCTGTCAGATTTTCTTTCTTAGAGAGATCTCCAAAAATGCTCCACGGGATGAAGCCCATTGTCCTTGTCTTCCCAGGCTGCAGTGGCGTTGTGAAGCCAGTCCAGCCCAGTGGGCCTGAGGGCGTGCCCCACTACGCAGAGGCTGACATCGTGAACCTCCAGGGGGTGACTGGAGGCAACACCTACTCTGTGCCTGCCGTTACCATGGACCTGCTCTCGGGAAAAGATGTGGCTGTGGAAGAGTTCCCCAGGAAGCTCTTAACATTCAAGGAGAAGCTGGGTGAAGGCCAGTTTGGGGAGGTGAGCTGATTCTTGGAGTGGAGTCTCCAGTCCTTGGTAGAGCAAAATGTCCCATCCAGAGTGGATTCACGTGCAATGTGTCCTCCAGCTGTTTCTCCTGGCATTGTCCTCTATAGCGGTCCCCAACAGTTTTGGCACCAGGTGTCATGGAAGATAGTTTTCCATGGACTGGGGGAGGAGGTGGTTTTGGCAACCCCAAATCCCAAGTGTATTATATTTATCGTGTACTTTATTTCTATTACTGTTATATCAGCTCCACCTTTAGATCATATATACATTCCTGGAGGTTGGGGACCCCTACTCTAGAAGACTAGTATTGGGTCAGTCTCATCTTTGTCAAATAGCTGTGGAATTCCTGGGAATTCTGATTTCTATACAAGAGTTTTAAAGCAGGAAAGTCACTAGACTTTGAGATCCTAAAAAACATCCAATATTTTCTAAATATTTTACTGTAGGTTACAGAGGGTGGGGACCATAAGATGTGATCATCTTTTATAAACTGTCCAAGAACATCCTGCTATTGGATAGCCACTTTGTTTTTATCCATTTTAATGGGAGTTACGTATAAAATGGTCAAAAACAACCTCGCCCCTGCTTTTAGTCCCAGAATCAGCCACTAGGGAATAAATCACTAACCAAGATAAGGAGAACACTCTTCTTAATTGCTCTCAGAGTGATGCATGTAATATTTGACTTTTCACTCTTACAACAGTCACATGAGCCTTCTGAGAATGCAAAGCAATGATTTAAGTGGCCACAGAAGCTCTTCAGTCCCGCCAGCTAAACTCCAAATGTAGCTTGGTTTCCTGAGATGGCACTGGTTTCCAGCACGGGCGGCATGCTTTAGCCTTGTGTAGGTTTGCTGGGGATGGACGAAGAAGGGTCCATGACATCCGTTTGTGGTGTTATGTCCACTCCTTCTGTCTCCTGAGTTGAAAATGCAGGCTTGTTGTACTGTTACTGACACGTAGGTGTTCCTGATAATGCTAATTCCATCCTAAGAATTACCTTAGAGAATAAAATACCTTATGTTTTGTGCAATCTTATAGCCAAACTTCCTTGAATCAAAGTTGAAGCATTTATACCAGAAGACATTTTATAGTATAATAAAATAATACTGTATATTATAGCTGTGATAAAATACTGTTATATATTTATTCACATATTTAATATTCCAAACAATGTATATTTTTTATAAAGCAGTAACATATCATATTAGCTTACCACTTAAAAAAATCAATTATTTGAGTCAAAGATATGATGCACATATCTTCTTATTGGTCTTTTGATTATTTTGCCTGAGTTGTAAGAGGTAGTTTATCTCCAGGAAATGCCCAGCAAGAGTACTGAGACATCTTCAGGAGAATGATGATGCTGAGACTAGATGACTTTTGTCTAGGTTCATCTCTGTGAAGTGGAGGGAATGGAAAAGTTCAAAGACAAAGATTTTGCCCTAGATGTCAGTGCCAACCAGCCTGTCCTGGTGGCTGTGAAAATGCTCCGAGCAGATGCCAACAAGAATGCCAGGTCTGTGGTCTACATTTTGAATTTTCCTTTATTTGTTTCATCTTCAGGATCAGGGATACTCTTGGAAACTTCTGAGCAATTTGTTTCTTTTGAGATGGAAAGCTGCCTCACATATCCATTGTTGTGTTTTATTTTTCTGATGGGTCAGTAATCCTCATCTTCATTCTCATCTCCTTCTAGAACAAATGTACATTTCCTGTTAGATCTGCTGCATATTTACTTCCTAACCTCCTTTGCACAGCACTGTGCTTCCCAACCTACACAACAGTCTGAACATGACATTGCTGAATGTCATTACCTACCCTTGCAAACTTTTCACAGTCACACACATCTTTCTTGCTAAGCTTCTGCCATTCTCCTTTTTTCACACTGAATCTCTACTTAACTTTCTCATGCCTTTTTTTCTCTTTTATGCTCCTCTTTGTCTATATCCAGCAACCCCCCAAATGAGAAGCTACCTCTACTTGGAAAAGTACCCATGGACCTCAAAGCAAAAGGATCCACAGTCCTTTAGCAGTTTTCCAAACTGGCTAATAATCTCTTGGATCCTTTACTACATAAATTGCTGTTTCCAGCCACACTCCGTTGTTTGACAGCCTTTCCATTACAGTAATGGTGAGTTAATCCTCACCCAGACAGGCATGCTGGTTGAAAGCTGATTGAATGTGTCTCAGAAAAATCTGCACATCTGGGTAACATATGCATTTCTTCATTTGTGTTGGCTTGATTTGTCTCACTGATGTTCAAATTCAGAAAAAATTTAGATTGCTATACCTCAAATTATCATAAATTCCAAGAACGGTGAGAGGGTTTTATTAAAAGTCTTGCAATTGGCAGGATGCGGCATGAAGAAGAGAGAAAGTCAAGGGAACAGAACTGTGGTGGTTTTGGAATTTTTACTGTGAGAATTTCAATCTTAAGGATACTAATATGAATGAAAAGTGATATCCTCAAGTCCCATCGAAAGAAAGAATATTCCTGATATTAATATTAGCACATGATTAGAGAAGGTGGCAAGAAGAAAGAAAAAAAAAAAACGATGGGATATAACAAAGCTTTTATCTGTTAAAAAAATTTTTTTTTACAATGTTGTGTTGGTTTGTGCCATGCAACAACGTGAATAAGTCATAGCTATACATATAATCCCTCCTTCTTGAGCCTCTCTCCTTGCTCACTGTTTTTTGGTGAGGTTTGGTGTCCCATCTGTGCCCACTCCAATTAAGCAACGATGGATGGCTTAGGTTGTGTGCCCTCCCAAACCATGGACCCCCTTGCTTTGAGGTTGAAGGAGGAATGAAAGAGGAGAGGTGTTGAAACCATATTGGTTTTAAGGATTTTATATTGACTGGTATGACTCCCAGTCCAGGATTGCTAAAAAACTCCTAGGAGACGTACAACATGTCTGTTCCAATAGTTTTGAGAATGTGGGCTAGTGGTTTCACTCCCCCAAATGTTGCTACTGGGAAGGTAGCCCGCTGTGTGATTCAGGGGTGGTCATCACCATCTACTCTGACAGCTACTAGTTTTGGCCAAGTGAGTACTTTTGAAATGACTGCATTACCACCATGAACTTTAAACAGCTCAACTTTGAACAGGTTACTAAATGTGTGTTGTGACTGTCTGCTGGTACACTCTGCATTAAAAGAAGCCAGCATGGGACAACAAAAAATTATCAGATAAACCAGGGGATGATTATTCATTTCCATAAAAAAGTGCCTTAGCTTTATTTACAGAGTGAGTCCTTGGCTTTTAAAAAAGGGAAAGACCCCAGTGCACTTAAGATATAGTTTTCAGTTGAAGGTTTTATTTTTAAGACTAGTTTTTAGCAACCGACATTTGATTTAGCAAATATTAATCACTTTCTATGTGGCAGGGCTTTTGTTGGATACTAACGGTGCAAATGTGAATGTCATGGTCCATATGCCTCCAGAATTACAGTTGAATAAGGGTTTGTCATATCCCAGGATGAGTAGAATGAGACAGTTTCCAGGAAGCAATGTCTCTGCTCTCACAAAGGTTATTCAAAAGAGAAGAAGACTAGTATAATGGGCAGGACTAGACTTTGCTGTGTCTTCTCCTATTTCTTGATTCTAACTCTGGCAACCTTTGGGTTTATCTGTGTCTGTGTCCTTCAAAGGAATGATTTTCTTAAGGAGATAAAGATCATGTCCCGGCTCAAGGACCCAAACATCATCCGCCTCTTAGCTGTGTGTATCACTGAGGATCCTCTTTGCATGATCACTGAGTACATGGAAAATGGAGATCTCAATCAGTTTCTTTCCCGCCACGAGCCACCCAGTTCTTGCTCTGCCAATGTACCCACTGTGAGGTAAAAAAAGCTGAGTCTTCCATCTCTTTCCTGGGTTCGTGAGACTAAGATGGGGAGCAGTGAGCTTTAAAGTTCATCATTTTTCTCAGATGGTGGGGGGTGGTGTTGTTCAGTCGCTAAGTTGTGCCCGACTCTTTGCGACCCCATAGACTGCAGCACGCCAGGCTTCCCTATTCTTCACTACTTCCCAGAGTTTACTCAAACTTATGGCCATTGAGTCGATGATGCCATCCAGCCATCTCATCCTCTGTCGCTCCCTTCTCCTCCTTCCCTCAATCTTTCCCAGCATCAGGGTCTTTCCCAGTGAGACAGGGGATGCTAGTGTGCAGGGGATAACAGAGCAGCTGCCCTTTGGGGGAAAGCAGAGATAAATGAAGAATAGAGACGGGATGCTGAGGTTGGAACCCCAGTTTGTTGGCACCAACTGGAGACTGTGTACCTTTCACAGCTTCTTGTTGCCAGAGGCTACTTTCTCTCTTCCTTTGTATTTTCTCAGTTATGCCAACCTGAAGTTTATGGCTACCCAGATTGCATCTGGTATGAAGTACCTTTCCTCACTTAATTTTGTTCATCGAGATCTGGCCACACGAAACTGCTTAGTGGGTAAGAACTATACCATCAAGATAGCTGACTTTGGAATGAGCAGAAACCTATACAGTGGTGACTACTACCGAATCCAGGGCCGGGCAGTGCTCCCGATCCGCTGGATGTCCTGGGAGAGCATCCTGTTGGTGAGTTTCCTGTTTCTGAGCTCGGCCCTAGCAACCAGCACATAGGCAGGGGCACATGGCACCTAGGGGTGCGCCAGGGACAGCAGGAGACAGGCGATGAGCAGACTTCAGTGTTTTCTCTGACTTGAGATGATTTACTATGGTACTAATCATTATTTTTTAACACTTGCCTATTTCTGCTGATAAAATGTAAAGTGCTTACTATAGAAAATTTGGAGAGAAAGGTTAAACATATACCTGGAATGATAAGAGATTTAGTATGATTTTTTTAAATCTTTACCCTTCCCATATTATTGATCTTAATTTAGGGTATTAAAATTTTGTCATTTAAAGAACTGTTATCCACACAAAATATTTTTTGTATTAATTTCATCACCATGTTTCTAATTAATTTATGTTTCTATTTTAATGATTATCATCATTTACTTTTTAAGTTCCTCATTCTTTGCTTTTATAACTTTTATTCAGCTCTTGATATTCTGAACCACAAGTGAATAAATATTTTTTTTCCAAATGCTTCTCTTCTCTTACCATGCATATTTGAGGCAATTTATGCCATTTGGTTTTATGCCACTTAGCTGATTTATAGAATTATTAGACTTTAAACTTTTACTTCCTACGATGCTGAATACATGTAATTTTGTCTTTTGTCATTTAGTATTCCAGAGAAAAGCCTGAAAGCAGTATAGTTTTGTTCACTTATTGTTAATCTGTTTGTTTCTTGTTCATATTCTTGTATGTTCATATTCTTGTTAATTTTAAAATAAAAATTATATAGTTATCCCTTTCCTCTCACCAAAATAATATTCTAGTATATTTTCTTTGAGGATTTTTTCTATACCTGTATTTCTCTGAATATATGTATTATGTATATAAAGTTGTTTTACATATTGGGATGATACTATGCACATAAAATTCTTTCTCATTGCCAGTAAATATTCTTCAAAAACATGATTTTAATGGTTGTATAATATTCCATTATAGATATATCCTGTAATTGAATATCATAATAACTTGGTATTTTCCAGTTTCCTTCAATTATGAATGATGCTGTAAGATATACTATTTTAGATAAATCATTATAAAGATTTTTATCATCTCCATAGGTGAATTGCATATTTTACCCCTTTCTAATGTGATTATTAGACATTCTAGGAATGTTGACATTCTAGGAATTAGCAAACTAAAATGAGCTGGAATGGGTGAATTTAACTCAGATGACCATTATATCTACTACTGTGGGCAGGAATCCATTAGAAGAAATGGAGTAGCCCTCATAGTCAACAAAAGTCTGAAAAAAAAGTAAAAAAAAGTCTGAAATGCAGTACTCGAAAGCAATCTCAAAAATGACAGAATGATCTCTGTTCATTTAAAAGGCAAGCCATTCAGTATCACGGTAATCCAAGCCTATGCCCCAACCAGTAATGCTGAAGAAGCTGAAGTTGAACAGTTCTATGAAGACCTACAAAACCTTTTAGAATTAACACCCAAAAAAGATGTCCTTTTCATTATAGGCGACTGGAATGCAAAAGTAGGAAGTCAAGAAACTCCAAGAAACACCTGGAGTAACAGGCAAATTTGGCCTTGGAGCACAGAATGAAGCAGGGCAAAGGCTAATAGAATTCTGCCAAGAGAACACACTGGTCATAGCAAACACCCTCTTCAAACAACACAAGAGAAGACTCTACACATGGACATCACCAGATGGTCAACACCAAAATCAGATTGATTATATTCTTTGCAGCCAAAGGTGAAGAAGCTCTACACAGTCAGCAAAAATAAGACCATGAGCTGACTGTGGCTCAGATTATGAACTCCATATTGCCAAATTCAGACTTAAATTGAAGAAAGTAGGGAAAACCACTAGACCATTCAGGTATGACCTAAATCAATCCCTTATGATTATACAGTGGAAGTGAGAAATAGATTTAAGGGACTAGATCTGATAGACAGAGTGCCTGATGAACTATGGATGTAGGTTTGTGACATTGTACAGGAGACAGGGATCAAGACCATCCCCACGGAAAAGAAATGCAAAAAGGCAAAATGGTTTTCTGAGGAGGCCTTACAAATAGCTGTGAAAAGAAGAGAAGCGAAAAGCAAAGGAGAAAAGGAAAGATATTCCCATTTGAATGCAGAGTTCCAAAGAATAGCAAGGAGAGATAAGAAAGCCTTCCTCAGTGATCAATGCAAAGAAATAGAGGAAAACAACAGAATGGGAAAGACTAGAGATCTCTTCAAGGAAATTAGAGATACCAAGGGAATATTTCATGCAAAGATGGGCTCAATAAAGGACAGAAATGGTATGGACCTAACAGAAGCAGAAGATACTAAGAAGAAGTGGCAGGAATACACAGAAGAGCTGTACAAAAAAGATCTTCATGACCCAGATAATCACGATGGTGTAATCACTCACCTAGAGCCAGACATCCTGGAATGTGAAGTCAAGTGGGCCTTAGAAAGCACCGCTATGAACAAAGCTAGGGGAGGTGATAGAATTCCAGTTGAGCTATTTTAAATCCTGAAAGATGATGCTGTGGAAGTGCTGCACTCAATATGCCAGCAAATTTGGAAAACTCAGCAGTGACCACAGGACTGGAGAAGGTCAGTTTTCATTCCAATCCCACAGAAAGGCAATCCCAAAGAATGCTCAAACTACCGCACAATTGCACTCATCTCACACGCTAGCAAAGTAATGCTCAAAATTCTCCAAGCCAGGCTTCAGCAATACGTGAACTGTGAACTTCCAGATGTTCAAGCTGGTTTTAGAAAAGGCAGAGGAACCAGAGATCAAATTGCCAACATCCACTGGATCATCGAAAAAGCAAGAGAGTTCCACAAAAACATCTATTTCTGCTTTATTGACTATGCCAAAGCCTTTGACTGTGTGGATCACAATAAACTGTTGAAAATTCTGAAAGAGATGGGAATACCAGACCACCTGACCTGCCTCTTGAGAAACCTATATGCAGGTCAGGAAAAAACAGTTCAAACTAGACATGGAACAACAGACTGTTTCCAAATAGGAAAAGAAGTACGTCAAGGCTGTATATTGTCACCCTGCTTATTTAACTTATATGCAGAGTTCATCATGAGAAACACTGGGCTGGAAGAAGCACAAGCTGGAATCAAGATTGCTGGGAGAAATATCAATAACCTCAGATATGTATGCAGATGACACCACCCTTATGGCAGAAAGTGAAGAGGAACTAAAAAGCCTCTTGATGAAAGTGAAAGAGGAGAGTGAAAAAGTTGGCTTAAAGCTCAACATTCAGAATACTCAGATCATGGCATCCAGTGCAATCACTTCATGGCAAATAGATGGAAACCGTGTCAGATTTTATTTTTTTGGGCTCCAAAATCACTGCGGATGGTGATTGCAGCCATGAAATTAAAAGACGCTTACTCCTTGGACGGAAAGTTATGACCAACCTAGATAGCATATTTAAAAGCAGAGACATTACTTTGCCAACAAAGGTCCATATAGTCAAGGCTATGGTTTTTCCAGTGGTCATGTATGGATGTGAGAGTTGGTCTGCAAAGAAAGCTGAATGTCGAAGAATTGATGCTTTTGAACTATGGTGTTGGAGAAGACTCTTGAGAGTCCCTTGGACTGCAAGGAGATCCAACCAGTCCATCCTAAAGGAGATCACTCCTGGGTGTTCATTGGAAGGACTGATGCTGAAGCTGAAACTCCAATACTTCGGCCACCTGATGCGAAGAGCTGACTCACTGGAAAAGTCCCTGATGCTGGGAGGGATTGGGGCAGGAAGAGAAGGGGATGACAGAGGATGAGATGCCTGGATGGCATCACCGACTCAATGGACATGAGTTTGAGTAAACTCTGGGAGTTACTGATGGACAGAGAGGCCTGTTGTGCTGCAATTCATGGGGTCACAAAGAGTCGGACATGACTGAGCGACTGAATTGAACTGAACTGAATGTGATTATTAAGCTTTGCTCCCTTTAAATATATTTCAAGGTGTTATAAAACATTATTAGACCGAGATTCAGACTGAGAGAGAAAAACTCTCAGTTTTTCTATTTTAATGGTCTTATAAACCAGGGAACTTTAGTAAACCTATGTTGTTCATTTTTCTGATCTAAAAAGTAGGAACAAGTATTATCTACTTCAGCACTGTCATTATTGAATAGAACATGTGCAAGTATTTAATGAATGTTGACTGCATCTGAATCTCAAGAGATCACTTGTCAGTCTGTCCTTAAAGGCTGTGAAGATCATTGAACAGGAGCTACTCGAGGCATTCACATTGGATTCCTGTATCTCTAACACAGAGATATTTGTATCTCTTCCTGTTCTTATTTTGCCTTTCCTGAGGGCATTTACCTGAGGCTGCCCTAGATCCTAGAGTTTGACCTTCTAACTCTCAGCGGGAGAGTCAGGTAGCTTATGGCCACATCCTTTTCAGTCCTTGGATCTCACCTGCAAGAGGAGTAGACCTCAGCAGAGATCCTGAGGGTCAGAGAAGTGTGGAGGCTGGCACTAAAACCATTTCTATTGTTGTTTTCAGATTCCCAGCGTAGATCTTGGCAGTTCCAGTACTCCTTGCCCTGTGTAGTTTAAAATTCTATTTTATGAAAATCTCTCTGCTCTTGTTGTACACAGATTATTCTGACTTTCTCTTCTTTTCCTTACATAAACAGGGCAAATTCACCACAGCAAGTGATGTGTGGGCCTTCGGGGTGACTCTGTGGGAGACTTTCACCTTTTGCCAGGAACAGCCCTATTCCCAGCTGTCAGATGAACAGGTCATTGAGAATACTGGAGAGTTCTTCCGAGACCAAGGGAGGCAGGTGAGAGCTGCTGGGGTGGAGAGATGTGGCCTTGGGTGCCTCTGAAGGTGAGAGAAAGAAAAGTTCTGATTTAACAGGATAGGCCTGAGCTGGAAGACGGGCTACCTGGGTGATAGTCATTTGTCACTATGAATCCAGGTGATGTGAAAGACCAAGGTCCTCTCTAGGCATCCATACACTCTACTTTTTCCGTGGGTCAACCCAGTGGTCAGTGGGGGGCATGAGGGAGTCCCATCAGGCTTCTCCACAACTCAAAGACGGTGGTGGTGGGGGTTTAGTCACAAAGCTATGTCCTACTCTGTGAGACCCTGTGGACCGTAGGCTGTCAGGCTCCTCTGTCCATGGGATTCTCCAGGCAAGGATACTGGAGTGGGTTGCCATTTAGTTCTCCAGGGGACCTTCCTGACCCAGGGACTGAACCTGGGTCTCCTGCATTGCAGGTTGATTCTATACCCACTGAGCCTCCAGGGAAGCCCTAGTCAAAGATATCAGGAAATAAATCCTGTCTCTCATATTTGATCTGTGTCCTGGTCTAGACTGTACAGTTTATCTTTGTGGTTAAGAAACATAATAATAAAAACATAAGCTAAAAGTGAATAAGGGAGTTATTAGCATTTGCTAAAAATTTGGTTTGGACTATTTAAAAATATTTCTCAACTTACATGCCCAGAGACCATCAAGTGCATCCTGGCTTTGCTGTTCCTGGAAGGCACCTCTGGGCTCAGATGTTGTGGCCTCTCGGGACTCAGGAAAGCTAAGCTTCTAAGCTGATAGGGGCCCCAGTTCCTAGTTAAGATACTCCAAGTTTCCTTCGGATAACTCAGTGTCCAAAGTTCCTGTGAGATGTGGGATTGAAAGCTTGCTGGTGGCTGGAGCGCTGAGCCCCCAGAGTGACTTGGAGTGTGGCATCTCAGACAGGAGAATGATAACAGTTGAGGAGAGGGAAAAGGCTCTTGAAGAAAATTAAAAGTGGATCCTCTGTGCTTAACCAGATTAACGCAAACAAAAGATAAGGGAATGACTAGAGACTGTGGAATAAGCGGTTAAAAATAGGAGGAGGGGGTCCTAGAGCTTTATTGCGATCCTCTGTAGATATTTTGGTAGCAGGAGATCTAAATCATCTATTTTGGTTATGAGGTAATTGCCTTCTCATCTTGGCAAAAGGCTGATTTAGTGCTGAGATAAGGCGTAGACCAAAGAAAAAAATTTTTTTTCTGGACTAGGAGCATGTCATGGCCACCTGGGTGACCTATTAGATGTCTCATGGCCAATTAAAGGTGGTGCGTTCTATTAGAAAGTGTAATTTTATTCATCATAACAATAATTCTAATTTGCTTACATCCTGGAATTATAGGCAAAGGGAGGAATATTTTAAACCTTTCAGTTTCTCTGATTTTATTATTCAGTGACTGAAATCTCACATGCAAAAAACAATTTGTATGAGGCACAATTGAACCAACAAAACAGTCAGCCAACAGAGGCATGCTTCCCCTCCCCACACTTTATGTCCACTGTCTGCTTTGCATTATATGTACTTTTGATATCAGGTAGCTTTTTACTTAGCACTAAAAAGTTGCATATTAATTAATCAAATGTTATGCTATTCATTTTCAAAGAAAATGTTGTTTTATCATTTAATGGAAGTTTTAAATTCTAATAATCTCTTGAATTTAACTTTTCTTATTTATTTTTAACTGCTTATTAAAAGGGTCCATCATGTTCACTTTTACTAAATGATGCTAGAGAGTCAAATATATTTTGACCAACTTCTAAATGGTTGAATAATAAAATTACATATTTGAGTGAAGCCAAGACCAAAGCATAATATCACCATCATATGCTGAGTAAGCTTCTCACCTATAAGTTTAAAATTTTGATAAAAGTTTATTTAATTCAACATATGAACTAACTAAGCATAATTCACTAAATTTGTATAACAGTTTACAAATTTTAATTACTTTAAATTTTATTGTTAAAATTTCAGTATTCAAATTTTGAAAGTTTGACAATAGAGTATAAGCACAATAGTTATTCATCACTATCAGCTGCTAGATGGATTTTATGGACTCTACACATGTGATCTAATTTGTATTCAAACAGCACTGTTAATGTCACCAGCTTGTTGAACATAGCAGATAACGTGCAGGAGAAAACTTTTCAGTAACACAAATTCTAGAAAGAATCTTATCCTTAGGGCTCATAGCTTAGACAAAGCTTAAATCTTCCATAGTCAATTAAAAATGCTTGGAGGTCTATAATAATAATTCCAGTAATTTTAAAATGTATTTGACATTTTTTGTTTTCAATTTGTTTTTACAAATTGTAAAGAATTCTCAGAAAGCACTTTTCTTGAAAGTTCATGGTCTAAATGAAATTAAATAATTAAAAATTAAATACAGTTTTAAAAGCTTATTTTCTTTGATGTTATGAAAAGTAAAATACTATCAACATAATGAGAATTATTACCAAATATAACTTTATTTGCCAAGTTTATACAACTTTGAAAAGGGCAAATAATTTATTTGTCATTTCATTTTATGGATATCTGTTGGCTCAAAACAGATGTATTTTTTTCTAAAATTATTTCGTGAACACCCTAGATAAGGCTTAACAGTTTTAAGTTTCACAAGTAGTATACGAGAGTGTCTATTATCCTGTATCCTTTATAATATTAGTAATATTTCTTTTAAATACTTGCTATTTTGTAGCCATAGTCACTTCTAACATACTGAGTTAAGGTTTGTCAGATCTTATTATATATTCAAATAGAAGCCAGAGGTATTTGTCTTTTTACTTTTTAATTAAGAATTGATGATGGAAAACTCCTTGGCATTGGTCGTAGCAATGGTTTTCTGGATCTGACAACAAAAGCAAAGGCAATAAAGCAAAAATAAACATGTGGGACTACATCAAACTAAAAAAATCTTCTTTATAATAAAGGAAACCATCAAAATGAAAAGGCAAGCTACCAAACTGGAGAAAAATTTGTAACTCATATATCTGATATGGGTTAATATCCAAAATGCATAAAGAACTCATGCAACTCAAGAGCAAAAATCCCCCAAACCATCCAATTTTAAATGAGCAGATCTGACTAAACATTTTCCCAAAGAAGACAGACAAACAGATGGCCAGCAGGGACATGAAAGGTGCTCAGCGTTGCTAGTTATTGGGCTTCCCAGGTGGCGCTAGTGGTAAAGAACCTGCCTGCCAAGCAGGAGACATAAGGGATGTGGGTCCAATCTCTGGCTCAGGGAGGTCTCCTGGAGGAGGGCATGCAACCCACTCCAGTATTCTTGCCTGGAGAATCCCATGGACAGAGGAAGGAGCCTGGCAGGCCAGGGAAGTGCACATCAAAACCATCCTGAGATATCACCTCACACCTTTAGAATGGCTATAATCAAAAAGACAAGGAACAACAAATGTTAGTGAGGACGTGGAGAAGAGGGAAGCCCCATGCATTGTTGATGGGAATGTAAATTGGTGCAGCCACTATGGAAAACAGTATGGAGGTTCTCCAAATAATTAACGATGGAACTACCATCTGATCCTACCATGCATGATACAAGCTGGTCTAAGTGTGGGAGAAGGCAATATTGAAATGGTTAATTACTAACCAGCAGCAGATGTTGGACCTGTGATTCAAAGAGCTTGAGACATTTAGGTTTGGTTCAGGAATATGTCAGTATACAAGGGTTTAAAAAGCATAGGTCAGGAAATGACAGCAACGTGTTGCATGCAAGCAGATGACCTGGAGTCAGTCTTGCTGGGTGGACACAGTAACTTGCTTCCAGAATAGAGCCAAATCCAGCTCTAGGTTGGAATTCAGGGCAGGGCTGTAGAGGGGTTAAATGTACAACGTTGGTGAATAATGTAAAGAAGAAATCCAGTCTTCCCACCTGGGGCCAGGACAGGAGAAGGAGAGCACAGAGAAAGCTATGGTTAAGAGCTACATGGATACATCCTGTGTCTCAGCGGCTAAGATTCCATTCTTAGCCCAGGAGCTAAGGCAGCTAACATACTTTCCGCCCTTGTCATGATTGGCTCAACCAAGATAAAGCTCACTGTGGATAGGCTATAACTGGAGGATTAGGTGTTCTAATCACTTTCCAGTCAAAGATGTTTTCTTGCTTCAGTTTCATCTTTTGCATGATGGTAAGCAACTTAGCATGCACGCACACACAGGGACCACAGGATGGCCCATCAGGAGGTTCTGCTCCGCAGATCTGGAAAGACAAAGAGAATGGAAAGGGGATTGATATGATGTAAAATGCTCGTGAAGAAGACGGAGAGACACCACACCCATTTCAGTTATCAAGTCCAAGAAAGTGGGGAGTGGGCAAGTCGTACCGTGATGCAGCCACCCTTTCTCCACACTCTTCTAATAGTCTCCTCTTTCGTTCATTTTTTGTTTCCAAAGACTTACCTCCCTCAGCCTGCCATTTGCCCTGACTCCGTGTATAAGCTGATGCTCAGCTGCTGGAGAAGAGACACCAAGCAGCGGCCCTCCTTCCAGGAGATCCACCTTCTGCTGCTTCAGCAGGTGGATGAGTGATGCTGCATAGCCCGGAACAGGTCCGCCTCGCGAGCCCCAGCAGCACCCTCGCTTAAGCCATCCATCTGGACACTGAATGCACCCGGGAGACAGAGGCTTGTTTGTCTTTCTCTCTTTCTGTCCCTCGTCTCCCTCCACTCCACTCCCCCACTCTCTACCCCTGACACATATATACTTTTTTTACATTAAAGAACTAAAAAGAAAAAAAAAAGCCTAGGACAGATGAAATCTAGTAAAGCATCTTACTTGATATACTTAAAGTATTGGATAACAAAGGCTAGATAATTTAGATAATTTATAAAGGATAAATATGCTCATGTTTATGAATGTGCAGATTCTACAATGTATTTTCCCTGTCGCCTTTTAAAAAGTGATTTCAGAAAGAAAAACTTGAAGAATGCTAATGTCTTAGGAAACATGAGACTAGGCATAGGGAAAACACTTGGTAAGTGTGGAGAATCTGATGAAATGGTATTCAGTAACTAGTCACCAATGGTTTGATTTCCTAATTTGGCCTGTAGACACGTCCTAAACTCTGCATTTTCCTCTCCTGGCAAAATAGATGTTACATGCTTGGAAAAAACTCAACTTACTGGAATGGTTGTTTTGTTCATTCCTGGGCAGGGATGAGGGTTGAGATCTATATGCATAGGAAATACAGCGTATGTACATAGGAAAGAATATTTACTGCAAGGCTCTATGAACAGGGATTGTTATTTGGAAAAAAAAATGTGCCTCATGCATGGAAATATTCTTAAATAGAGAATGGACACAGGAAAAGGGGTCAGTGGACGACAGGTAATAGGTGTGCTGCTCATTTCCTCAGAGGGTCCTCCTCTCACCTTGTTCAGACATTTTCAGGTGTGTGTGCTTTAGCGAGAGCCTGATTTTGAGTCAGTACAAACTGTTGTTTCTATAGCTTGATCCTGGGCCCTTTGGTTCATCTCCTCCAAAACTTCCAGCTCTTTTAATGGATGAATACTCTATGGAACCTATGTGCTGGGGATGAAATTTCTCAGGCATAAATCTGAAGGTCATGTAAAATAGGGAATAGATACGTTCTGAGTGTTTCCATAGGGTTGACTGAGGATTGGTGAAAGGAAATTACAGGGAGATTGATTTTAACTCCCTATTAGGGAAAATATAGCCAGAGGCAGAATATACAAAGATGAGTGGGCTGCCTCGAGAGGTGGGGAGCCCTTTGTCACTGAAGAGGTTGAGATACAGGCTAAAGACTAGGAGAGAAAGAGGTAGGGTTTCAGACATAATAAGTGGTTGTGGGAGATGATGTTTTATGTCCTTTTAACCCTAGGAGTTCTTGAGAGGAGCAGGTTGAGTGTGGAAGAGTCATCTGCTGCTACTGCTTGGGATTTACACTCTTGCCTTGGCGATGGTATGACCAGCAGAAAAAGAAAGCTTGAGGCTCTGGCTTCAGAATCCATGGATACTGATAACACTGTTAAATAAAAATCCCCTCAGAACAGATTCTGAGCTTTCACACTCCACAGATCCTCAGATGCAGTAGGAAACAGGAAAAGGGAATGAGATGCTCTTGAAGTCTCTTCCGGCTCTGATATATTCAGACCTCATTGGATAATTGAATCTACAATTGCTGCAGCCTCAGTGTCCAGTCGTCTCCTGCTCTGAAAATTGTGGTCAGCAAAAGAGATCATGTGAAGAAGTCACGATAATAGTAGTAATAGGACACCTGCCACTGGCTCAGTGCTTTAAAGTTTATCATGTGTTTCTCCATACTTTATCTCACTTGATATCTGCAGGACCAGACATGTCCTCATGTTCTTTTATACTTGGGACCTGCCACACAGTCTGTCTTCTCAAGATCAGTAATAACTTCGTGTACTATTCATAGTTCCCGAGAGAAACAGAACTTATATATATATATATATGATTTATTATAATGAATTGGGGAATAGGGTTACATAATTATGGAGACTGAGGAGTTCCACAAAGCTGGTGGTGATGTACTTCTGAGAACCAGAGGGTTAAAGGTTTAAGTTGAGAGCAGAGGACTGATGTGTGAGCTCAAGCAGTCAGGCAGAGAGGCTACTTTTCCTTCTATTGAGGCCTTCACCGGAGTAGATGATGCCCACCCATGCTGGAGAAGGCAATCTTCCTTACTCAGCTCACCAATGAAAATGTTAATCTCATCTGGAAACACCCTTATAGAAAAACACCCAGAAGTAATATTTAATCTGGGTGCCACATGTCTCTGTCAAGTTGATGCATTGAAGTTCATCTTTCCATTTCAGTAGAATCAAAGGGACTTGAAATCAGGGCTTGCAACTTGTTCTCCTTGATCCATGAGCATCTGGCAGGCCTACATTCAGACCAGGCCATGACTTCCTATGTGGCAAGAGGAACTATGTAATGTAATTTCTCCTTCTTTTGTCTAGTATCTTTCCACTTACTTCTTTTTACAATTCTGCCTCAAGCCACTGCATTGCATGATACCATAAGAAAAATCCTTTAAAATTAACTTAGTATGTCTAGATTTTCCTGGGCTTGAGTCATACAGGTCATCTGTTTCAAGCAACTGGAAAATGTGTATTGTCAGGTACAGTTATCTTTTTCTGAGATGAGGAAGGTTCCATCTTCTGGCACTAAGACTTTTGTACTACCAGACACAGTTTTAACTCCTCCCTTAGTCATGCACGTTGCGTTCAGCGGCACAAATCTAAGACAGCCATCAGGGTAAATGATCAAGGCTAGGTATCTAGAATTTAAAAATAGGTGGACTTTTGAAGAATAGAAGAATGAAGCTAAGAATTATGCAGAAAAGAAGTTAGGAAAAGGGATGAGAACTGTGGGGCCTTGTAACCTTTCTAGGAAGTCATCCTCTTCATGATATATGTGAAATGGTTTATGTCTAGATTGTGGTTTGGGATAGTAGATTTAAGTTTATACTTTCGCTAGTGAATGTGGTGATAGCTAAGTCCAAATCTTGATGAGCTGTCCAGACTCATATGTGCTAAGAAAAGATCTGGAGTCTAAAGAGGCACCCAAGGGGAAATGCGATTTTAATGCTGTGGAAAGATCACTTGCAAGTGTACAAGACTGTATAACAAAGGGCACTGTATGAACGTAGAGCAGAGAATGAATCAATGAATGTGCATGTGATTGGACAGGGAGGCAGGTGGGGTTTAGAAAGGAGGCTACATAATAGGGGTGATAGAGAGAAGGATGGGGGAGGTAAGGGCAGCAAGACAGACACAGATGGTGCTGCTGAGAATCCATTCTGAAGCATGAAAGCCAATCTCTGAAGAGAACAGAAAAAGTAAGTGTCTTGAAGAGAAAAGATAAATGTATATGGAGAGAGAGGAAATTCTGGATGAAGAGATTATTAAAAGTAGTCATTAAAAAATGAAAAGTGAGGTGCAGAGTATGACATGGAAGGGAACTTTTCATAGTTTTAAGAAAAGATAAACCCATCAAGAATATACAAACACATAAGCAACCACCAGGGAATGACCTTTTCATCTCATGGGCTGTAGGAGAGGGAGGCAGTTTGAACATGGGTGTTCCAGACCACTTCCAGTGCCAGGGATTCATGTGGTGACAAGAGATCAACTCTGTCTGAACTGGACTTGGCTTTCCAAGTGCTGCTTTGGAAATGAAGACCAAGAGGGGAGACGGGGAATTCATGTTAGTTCATGAGGCTCTGTCTTCCCTTCTTTATTTCTGCCACTGAAATCCATTTTAGATAATGCTCATCATTGTTGTGCCCAGAGAGGCCACAGGGAAACATTGGAACAACAGGCTTAGGTTAAACTAGACGAAATCTTGTTCGATATCTGCACCAAGACGTATGTGCCATGTTGGAACCATGTATTTTTCTAGTCCCATCCAGGCGTCCCACAAGAAAGCCATGATGTGGGGCTAAGGCATTTGTTTCAAGTAAAGGAGAACAGGAGAAAGGAAAGAGATGAAGATGTTCCAAGGAAATAGTGTAAAACAGAATAGCATCTGTTTTGTCCAAAGCTACAAAAATAAACGGAGAAAATCACAGTTAAGGCTTAGATTACTCCCAATATAGAGCTATTAAATCTTTGATCCTAAACTGAGTTTGTAGACCTGGAATTTGCCATCTTGCTCTTTTCAGTAAGACCTCTGATATCTGGAAGTGCTTATGATAGGTTTCTGAAAGATGTAGATCCAAATGTAGGCTGAATTTCAATTTAACATTTTTATAGAAACAGATGAATGTCTTTTGCACTTGGTAAATGTCTTAGAATACTAAATTGAGATAGAAAGAGACTGGAATGGTTAAAGGTTTTTAGATTTCTGGCATTTTGAGTTCTCTGCTGCAGTTAACTGTATTACTTGGTAGCAAACATATGGAGGGTAATTGTTTAGTTGATGTATCTTTTTTTTCCCCAACTGTTATATTGAAATACTTTAAGACTCACAAGAAGTTGCAAAAATAGTTCAGAGTGGCCTATACCTAATACCAGGATTTCCCATTGATAACATCTTATGTAATCATAGTCCAGTTTCAAAACCAGAAAATTGACATTGGTATACTATTAACTAAACTACAGATCTTACTCAGATTTCACCAGTTCTTCACATTTATACATTTCATTTCTGGATACTTTAAACCCTTGCTGATTTGTAACCTGGTCTCATTTGGCTACATCAGGAAAGACATCTGTAAAATCCTAAAGAGGATATAACAAATTAATCTGTTCCTTTATTAGTAAGTAATATCCTGCCTAGATTGTATCCATATTTTCTGACTAGTTTGGCTGTTCAATTGGCTGAAACAATCCAAAAACAGCTTAGAAAAATCAGATAACGCAAAGGACAGTGAGACCCATAGCTCACTAGCTTGGTAGGTGGTTTCTGCAGTTCCTTCCAGTAGGGCTTATATGGTGGCAAGGAGAGGACTTTAGAATAAATCAGTATTTTGATTAAGAACTGGGTGGCACTTCATTCTTGGCACCAGGAAGAGCTTTTGGAAGGAATAGAGTACAATGGTG